TAAACCCTAAACCCTAAGCCCGGATCAAGGTAATTCTGGCCCTGGCTTTCCACCAGACTATCAATCTCATGCCAATGACCTATGCTGGAGGCTTTTGGGTTTAGGGTTTTTAAAGCTTAGGGTTTAGGGTATAGGGTTTAGGGTTTAGGTCGAGTTTAGGATGGTTGTAGGGTTTTTTTTTGCAGTCTAGGTTGCACAGTTGAGGGTAAGCTTCGTAAGGGCTGTAGAGGGTGTGGAGGTCAATCCAACGTCACTTGACGATGCACTTATGTATGCAGGGGGTTACAGTACCCGCCGAGGACTTTAAAGGGATTTTCTGGGGCTCAATCTCAAGGCCCATCATCTACGCTGAGAGACCTGGATCTAGAATTGTTGGGTATAAGGTGGTCCAGTGCTTGATTTCAAGACTGCTTGCATTGATTACAGAGAAATCGTTACATTGAAAAAACAATTTCGCTGTTTATGGACCTTGCCTAGAATTGGAAGCGGAGTGCATGTGCATTGAGAGCTATGGAAGGTTTCCTTGTGCAATCCTCCTAGGCTTGCAAGCCCTCAAACACAAGCATTTTCTCGCATGGTGTCTCAGCCACCCAACACGAAGCCATAAATCCGCATAGCGTAAACCCCACATAGTCCTGAAAGCCTGAGCCTTGAACGGCTACATGCGATCAATACTACATGTAACTTGTCTAGCAAGTCAACCAGTGCTGGCTACCAACCCAGATATGCGAGAACTGCGGTGCGGGGAGAGAATTTTGCACCACTTAGGATATCAAGAGTGCTGTAATTTAATCGCTAATACGGAACTCATAGTGCGGTACATTAATTATACATCGCTAGGGTCCCTCGGGCCCCTGTTTTCAGGCAACTCGTAAAAAGGCAGTGTAACATTTCCCCAGCCACAGTATGGGTCCTCAGTATCCAACAGCCCATTCTGAGACCTAAGCGTTAAACCTTGAGCCGTTGCCCCCACATCGAGCACACTAATTAATCCTCAATCCCTACTCCCAGAACCCTAAATCTTAATCCCCAAACCCAGAATCCTCGGCCCCAAGTCCGAAGCCCTCACCCCTAATCCCTAAACCCTAAACCCTAATCCCTAAACCCTACACTCCAAGCCTTAACCTAATCCTTGTATTTTATGGCCCATATCGAGCGATCCAGGCTTCTCGATCTCCATGTGCTGCCGCTTCGTCATCTTCCTGCCAGGCGAGCTATCATCTAAACTCCTTCAAGGGGTGGTGCAAGGGCATGCATAACCCCTTCATCTAGGGTTTAGGGTTCGGGTTTTAGAGTCTGAACGCTGTAAAGGGGGCTATTTAGGGGACTGCTACAGGGTCATTAAGCGGGATACGAGGAGTTTTTCACTATAGTTCAGGTGACGTTCTACTAGTAGCATAAGGAGATTCTGGTAAGTCAGCAGGAGTTTACAGAGACCGTATTTGGACACAAATGGTTCGGGGCTTCAGGGTCCATGGTAGCCCCAACTCCCAAAATCGGACCCTGTGACAGTTACCTGGCACTTCTTAAAATCATCCTTTAATAGTCCTTTTGAGAAACCCCCCATATGTGATGTATAAACCTTAAACCCTAAACCCTAAACCATTTATATCCTTAAACCTAAAACCTAAACCCATATATGGTAGTCTTCTTTCTAGTCCTTGGTCTGAAGGGCTTGGGCCTATCACAGCCACATTTTGGGGGTCCCCATAATTAGGATGATGGTCTATAGTCCCCGATAGAATATGGGGTACATAGGGATCTTATTATAATGTACCCAAAGCCATATTCTATCTACTTAAGGGGGACTATATTGGGATGTATGGGGTGGCCCCCTGTTTCTCGAACTTTCCCATATCCAAAACTTTACAGCTTAGACTCAGAGACTGACACCTTAAACTCCTAAATTAAAAGGAGAAACCTCTTAACTCCCAAACCAGTAATCTCCTGAACCCTAAATGCCCAAACCCTGAACTCTAAACCCCAAACCCTTACACCCTGAAGCTCAAACCCTAAACAAAATATATCCCTATAGAAATCCTATATAGGCTCTAGAAGCCCCTTTAAAGGTTTGGGAAACCATGAAACCGTAACATTGTGAGAAAGCCTCCCTTCGCAGGGGTGGCCACGCAGGCGCTTGGCAAGTCAAGCTCGCTGATGCTGGGATCTTTCAATATGGGTAGTTTGCAAAATTAGGGTCCCATTTTGGTACCCCTAAATAGTTATTAGATGCCGTAATATAATACATACACAAAAGTGGCCCAGACTTTTGAGAACAACTCATATAGACTGGGTCGCTTTTAAGCGCTTTAAAATCCCTACAATACGGAAACCTTATTTAAGTGGCCCAGAATTTTGAGAACAACTCAAAAAGACTGGGTTGCTTTTAAGCTTTTTAAAATCACTACAATACGGAAACCGGATTTTTGATGATGTATCCATATTATGGTCATTTAGTTTAAGTTCCGCAATAGCCATCCAGTAGAGCATTTTTTGAAGTGTCAAGCTTTCGGCTTTCAGCTGTCGAGGTTGTGCATTAAGGCTTTAAATGGGACTTAGGGTTTAGGGTGCCGTGATAGGGTTAATTATATAAGGTGATTTTAGAAGGGTGTAATGGGTTTAGGGGTTCAGGGCTTTGACTCTCGGTTTCAGAGTTTATGGCTCTTTAGTTTGTTTTTGCCAGCCTGGATGCCTTCCAAAAGAACGCACAGAACAAGTCTTTCGTTTTCGGCTGGGATGCAAGGATACTGCCGTTGTCCCTGTGTGTGGCGGTGGGTGCAGCGATGTTTGCGATCCACGAGGCCATACGGGGTTACAAACATGCCTCACCCTATCACATCCTTTCCCAAAATCCTACACAGAGGACAGCCAGCAAATGCTTAGTTCCATGGCAAAACCGAAACACCGAACCCTAAACCCTCAACTGCAACCCCCCCATGCCCATGACAAGGGGGTCGACACTGCGTGCATTCTTTACCTCTTCCTGGCCTTCCTCTATCTGCGCGGCATCTTCAGTGGACACCGTCCTAGCAGAGACTTGCTTGCCAATGACAGTCCTAATCGGCCAAGTTTTCTTCCCACAACATAGTCCCAACATCCAGTCACTTTGGTGACTATCACCCCTAGAGCTCTCATAGCTAGGGTTTAGTGTTTCAGTTGAAAGGGTTGAGGGCTTAAGGTTTGAGGGAAGATAACCAGGGACTCGCAAAGATGACCGCTTGGATTCCAAACCGCAAGTAGGGTTTGGGATTAAGGGGTTCAATGTTTAGCGTCATGGTCCACATGATGACTCTTCAAACCATGGATCCTCAGCTCAAACAAGAACTATTCAAGCAAGGGATTCAGCCCTTACCACCCTAGCATCTTAATGCTGCGCATCTTACGGTAAAGCTTGAACCCTAAGCCCAAATCCCTGACCATCTTCCCCGTTCCATTGCGCGCAGCCTTCGAAGTATGGGCTCCTATTACGTTCAGACTTACTGGGAGGGTCGGGCCCTGACCATCCAAGTGCGGGTTTCTCCCTAAGCTAACGTGCGAAGCAGACCCTGTATGCATGGGTTCCCATGGTTTAGGGTTTAAGGGTTCAGGGTTTAGGTTTTAGATCCCTATGAAAATTTCCTACGAACCCAGTGTATGCCCCCTACCCCCCTACTCTGAAGGGCCCTTACAATCCGCCAATAATCCACAACCTGAATTGCTCAAAACCTTAACTCCCAAACGCTAAACACCAATTCCCAAACCCTAAACTGCAAGCCGCAAGCCCTAAACCCTAAACCCCAATCCCCAAACCCTGAACTTCGCCTTGAACCATGCATATCCAGTAAGGTAAGGGCTTTGGCGGAGCTGCCTGGCTATCTTTCTTGGCAATCCTCATAGGCTCCGCTGCTTCGAGTCACTGTAGGGTTCAGGGTCTGGGACCTGCATCTAGGGTTCGGGGTTTAGGGTGTGGAGCTTTGGATCTAGGGCCTGAGGGTGTTGGGGAGCGGCAAGATTCGTTTAGGACAGGGAAATACCCTCAAGTTCCCAAAGCCCTCAGGCCCTAAAGCACTACAGTCGCAGGGTCTACGACCCTAAACCTGCAATTTTCACCCTAAACCCTAAGCCCTTAACCCTGCACCTGAATTCGGGAGCGCAGGCTTCCTGTATGGCTTCCTGGCACCCGTGGCGGGAGTTATGGCCATGGCTTCCAGCACCATGCGCCTTGATCTCATAGTTTGAAAACCGCCTCCCGGCTCCAGGGATGTAATGCGTTTAGGGTAAAGCTTGAGGGTTTCCAGAAACAACGGGGTTATAATCCTTGTCCTCCTAATTCTTGGATAGTTCAGGGTTTGAGGGGCTGTAGGGTTTCCATTCATGATGATGAGTTTCTGGCAGATGTGCTTTGGAGTTACAATGAATAATTCTTGGGGTTCATGGTATGCAGGGTGGTGCAAGATTTTCCTGTCAGTAGGATTTAGCTGAACCCCATTTTTTGTTTGTGTGCTTTCCTAGAAAGTATCAGCTAAAACTCTTATGAGCCCCATCCCAAAAAGTACGATCACCAAAATGGCCTTAGAAGAAGAAAAGGTATTTAGAGGATTTATGTCACCACAATCACCAAATCTATGAATCTAGAGCCATCACCTGACTACAGTCTGGTCCCAAATCTCGGAGGTTGGGGATACCACCCTAAACCCCAAACCCCTATCTGCAGGTATGGCAACGTGAAGCAGTGGGGTGGCACCAATCACCTCGTTGTTCCCACAGGCCGATGAAAGTGTGAAAGTTTCCACGCAGGACCGACAAAATCTTCGAAGTGTATGGTCATGGATTTAGGGTCTCGGGTTGAGGGTTTACGGTTTCAGGGTTCAGGATTTAGGGGTTCGGGTTGAGGGTTTATGGATTAAGGGTGCTTGGATTAAGTGTAGGATTTAGGGTTTAGGCCCAAAAGCAAGCTTTGAATCCTGCATCACCCCATGTGTGTTCTAATACAACAAGCGCTTAAGTTCAAAGCTCCGGGCCTTAGAATGCATACTCGGTTTAGGGTTTAGGTTTTAGGGTTTCAGGGTTTAGGGTTTGGGGTTTAGGTTTTAGGGTTTCAGGGTTTGGGGTTTAGGGTTTCAGGGTTAGGGTTTAGGGTATAGGGTTTAGGGTCATATTATACCGTGGTACTACATAGGGTCGCATTCATTCTTCGTATGGGGATGGGGCGGTTTGAGCTCTAGACCTTCGCAGTCCAACGTCCAATCCTAAATTCAAAAAGTGTGTGGCAGGCCTTCTTCAGAAGCTCCAAACCCTAAGCCTTGAACTTCAACTGCAAGGGTTATATGGGGATATGTAGGGGTTATATTGGGATAATGGAACAAGAGATGGAAACTACTATTTAGGGTTTAGGGTTTAGGGATTACCCTGAAGCCTTAACCCCCTGTCCCAAACTTCTTAAACGACGACAGGCCCCTAAACCCAAAACCCTAAACCCCAAAACCCAAAACCCTAAACGCCAAAACCCAAAACCCTAAACCCCAAAACCCTAAACCCTAAACTTCTTAAGCGACGACAGGCCTTCTTCAGGAGCACTTTGCCAACCCGATGAACTCGGAGCCCGCTTGGGCGGCAGATGCTTTTGGTGGCCGAGCAGAATTTCAGAGCTTAGGGTTTTTCACGCATGGGGTAAACCCTGAACCCTAACCCTAGGGGTCTAGGATCTGCTTAAAGATGGTGTTTGGAGTTTGTGATCTAGGCTTCAGGGCCTCAGGTTCCAGGTCTAGGGTTCGGAGTTAGAGTCAGACTTCATGGTCGGGGTCAGAACCCTAAACCCTACATCCTAAACGCCTAAACCTAAACCCTTATCCCTACACAAACCTTAAACCCTAGACCCTAAACCACGGGACTTGGGTTTTGGGTCTAAGGGTTGAGGAGCCCAGTTTGAAGCATACGTGTTGTGTGGCTTGATTGTGAATTCTAGGCAGAAACCCTGAGGCCTAAGCATGTGAATCCTACATCCCAACCCCCTTGAGCGTGAGTGCCAGCGCTCAAAGGTACAGCCTAAAATCCTCGGCCCGAAATCCTAAACCGCAATCCTAAATCCCAAACACTACAGCCGAGACTCTCAGCCCTAAACATCGCCGGCAACGCTTTAACATCAACCCTGAACCAGAACTCACATGCGCTTAGTCTAAACTCCTTAAAGGGGGTTGTTGAGGGGATTGTTGAGGGGAGCATTATAGGGGTTATTAAGGGGGATGCTAGGAGTTTCAACTATAGCTCGTATCAGACCCCTCTATAAACCGCTATTTTGCCCCAGTTTCCATTTCATTTTCCATTTTCTTTTACATTTGAATTATCGATAATTGGGGGTCTTATTCCCTACTAACCCTAAACCCTAAACCCTTACATTACTATATTGCCCCAATATATAACCCCAATTTATCCCAATGTGTTCCCTAAACCTAAGTCAACCCTTCTAATAATCCTAAACCCCAAACCCCTAAACCCTAAACCTTAAACCCTAAACCCCACACCCCTAACCCTAAACCCCAAACCCTAAACCCTAAACCCTTAACCCTTAATCATGCTCAGGTGGCGGCCTCATCCGGGTGGACGAGACAACGTCCGCTACCATAAGGGAGCTCTGTCCCGCAGAGGTGGCGCCAGCCTACAGGGTTTAGGGTTTAGGGGTTTAGGGTTTAGGGGTTTAGGGCTTTAGGGGTTTAGGGATTAGGGTTTAGGGGTTTAGGGTTTAGGGATTACAATATCTGCCATGTTATAATATAGTAGCTTCCATTTTCTTTTCCATTATCCCTATATAGCCCCAAGATATACATCCTACACTCTAAAGACTATGGTTGATTTTAGTGCTTTGCGGATTTAGGGTTTAGTGGTTTTGGGGATGTCTGGGTGCACAGGGTGCTAGGGTTCTCAAGGTTTTGAGGGTTCTTTGTTTTTCTTCAGTGGGGTGTTTTTTTGGGGTCCTAGGGCTTTATTTCTTTTTGGGGTTCTTCGACTTGTAGGGCCTGGGGCTGGGGGATAGGGTTTTAGGATCATGGGGTGTGGGGGTTTTGAAAGGGTTCCCGGAGGTCCAATCAGGGAACCTGTAACCCGGTCATGACCTGGACCTCCAAGTAGGGCACGAAGTTTTTTTTTTTTTCTTTTTTTTCTGGTGGTTACTGAACAATCCCTACATAATCCTTTGTAGGGACCATCCAAATCCTTTCAAAAAAGATCCACAGTACCTTCCCTTCACAGTAAATCCCGTGTAGGGATCCGAGCCTGCATCTCCTCCTAAGCCCTAAACCCTGAGCCCTCAACCCTAAACCCTAAACCCTCAACCCTAAACCCTAAACCCAAGACCCTAAACCCTGAGCCCAATCTGACATGGAACCTCCCATATAGGCCGCTTCAATATTATGTTAGTTTGGGGGAGGGTGAAGTGTACAAGTCTCTTTAGACCCTCAAGCCCGTACCTTCAAGCAAACCCTGTAAAATCCTAAGGTTTAGGGTTTATGCTTTAGGGTTCAGCTACTGAGACTGATGATCATTTACCTTTTCAGTGTTCTTGGAGGAGAATTGCCCGATAATGGCAATTACCTTTCCTCGAGCTACACAACCCAAGCCCTCAACCCGAACCCTCAACCCTACCCCTAAACCCTAAACCCTAAACCCTAAACCCAAACATACATTGCGAATCCAAAGCGTCCTTTGGTGGAGGCCACGCACCTCATGCTTCCCTACGCGAGGTCAGATTGTCGTCAAAAGCGTCAAGGGCTTATAGGGATCAAGGGGTTATGTGGGCTTTATGGAGTTATATAGGGGTATTGTGGGAAAGGGTCATATGGGGTTATATGAGGTCATATATAGGCATTGTGGAAAAGAGCAATTCAAACATTCAATGTCAAGTTTTTTTTCTTTTTTTATGGGAGTTCAAAAGGTTGCTTTCGTCAAGGGTTCAGCTTAGAGCTCAAAAGTTTGGGGTTTGAGGCTTAGGGATTTAGGGATTTAGGGATTTAGGGTTAAGGGTGTAGGGTTTAGGATTTAGGGTTTAGGATTAAGTT